TTTGTAAAGTGTCCTGAGATGACTTTTGTTGTGATTTGGCGCTATACAAATAAAATTTGATTTGATTTGATTTAATACTGCAGCTGGTAAAGGTAGAGCTAATTCTAACAGTCTTATATGCAGCTTGTGAATTTTACATCATAGATCAATAAATATTATGATTACGCCGCATTTTGTTTTATTAACCTCCTTCTGAAAAGTAACTAAAGTTATCAAAAGTGTAGTAAGTACAAAGTACAATACCTCTGAAAGGTTGTAGTATGAAGTAGCAGAAAAATTTAATTACTCAAGTAAAGTACAGATACCTCAAAAATGTTCTTAAGTACAGTACTTGAGTAAAGGTACTTAGTTACTTTCCACCTCTGGAAACAACACAGGCTGTGAGGTTCTGGGCTTGTAGCTGCAGAGCACAGGCAGAAGATGAAATACAGTTTGGCATAAAGCAGCTAACGCCAGGAGACGACACTGTTGCTATTTAACTTTAGGGTCTGGCAGCACCAGCTGCTGCAGCAGCCTCAGTGCAATGAATCAGGGAGTCTGTGTGTTTCTGCTGCAGCGCCTGGAAACACTGTTAGAGGGAGAGGCACAGGACCAGTAGGAGAGAACCACAGCGAGACAGGGAGTTAATAATCCCACAGTCTCGTCTGTAGCACGGTGTTTGTGTTCACCCTACAGCTCTGACGGCACCTGGATCCAGCCCAAGAGAATCCAGTTTAAATCTAGTGTATGAAGCTTTTTGAGCCGTTTTGATGCCTTATTAAAACGTAGTCATCAAGCTGAAAAGTATCTTGAAAATATGAAGTTTTGGTGACGCTGTGCTTACAACATAGGCAAAGATATAAATAAGTCAAGTGTCATTTGTCTCCTGTGAACAGAGGCCACCTTGGACAAGGCGTCCTCCTCTGTTTAGCCCCGTCTCTTCATGTCCTCCCACAAACACAACAGAAAAAACAAAACAGCAGAAAACGCTGACTCTGCAGGACATGTGAACATGCAGGAAGGCCGTGGCGAGGCTGCAAGCCTCTGACTGGCCAGTGAGCACCCCACCCATTTTAAAGTCCACAGTAAAGCAGGACTGACTGCACACAGGAGAAAAGGCCTCTCAGCTGCAGCATGTGCACTGTGCAGGGATGGGTCACCCAGCTCTAATTCACACAGAAACACGTTCACATTGCCTGAGCATCACGTTACTGATCACGTTATGATGCTGAGCAGACTCACTGGAGTAGAAAACTGTTTAAGCGGTAGCTCAGCTGTCTGGTTTAATTTGTCTACCAGCAACTTTAGACTCCCGTCCTCCTCCTCCACGTGCTCTGCCAACCTTAGAGGTTTCAGAATGTAATGCCTGGTTTCGTCTCTGATTGAGCCGACTTGCATATAAAATAAGATATCTGAGAAACTTATCACAGATCGTCTGGTTGGATTGTGTCTCTTATTCGAGAAGAGCCAACCAAGAGCCAGAGCTGGGAGAGTTTTCCTCAGGTGAGTCTGAAATGAAATTTTACTAGGGATCATTTTTGAAAATGTAACTTCAAGTTCAACGAGCAGTTAAAATCAGAATCTTCTGTGAACACATTTGACCATGTATCTGAAGTTTCTTTTTTAATCTCTTAAACCCTTAAATTTGACCTTAAGTTTTTTCACCCGGCCGCTTGTAAACAGGACTGATTATCCAGAAACAGTGGTGCTGATGAGCACACCTGGAAAGCACTTTCAGACCAGTCAGAGCTGTGGCTTCTACTACATGAAGTGCCTTTGAGCTGACATCGTTGGCTAACAGGGAACAATCACATGTCCAGACACATCAATCTTTCAGGACTATAAAGACTAAAGGCTTATTTTTATTCAACTTTCCACTATGATTTGGTTTCTTCTACAGATGTGTGGCTAGTTGCCATAGTAACTGGCCCACATCAGATTCCAGTGGAAGTTGGTACCTTTCTGAGCACTAGCTCTGGCACTACAGGCTACACCTGGGTTCCCAGTTTTGCACCTCCTCCCACTGTAAACTGTAGCACATGCACCAGAAAAGGGCACAGTCATAATGAACAGTGAAAACGTTTGAATATTATCTGCTAGGCAGACTGGTGATCACAGACAATGCTTAATGCTTTTTTTCCTGATGTATAATTCATGTTTTACAGGGGAGGCTGCAATTAAACACAAAGCCTGCACTTCATCTGACTCCAGAAACGCCACCTGCTGCAGGTAATATGTCACAGACGCACACCTGGACAACTCACTCACTCGCCCCCTGCGCCCTGCTCACCTTTCTTGAACTCCTCCAGCATGGCGTCCAGCTTGGTGTCGTTGAAGACGCAGTGCAGCGGGTGCTTGTAGAACTGGGTGATGGTCTTGAGCGGGGTGCAGTCGTCCGGGTCCACGAACGCGAGGTCCTTGACGAACAGGATGTCCACGATGTTGGACCTCTCGTTCTCAAACACCGGTATCCTCGTGTATCCGCTCTGCATAATCTCCGACATGGTGTTGAAGTCCAGCACCGCATCCGAGGCCAGCATGAAGCAGTCGCTCAGCGGCGTCAGGACGTCCTCCACCGTCTTGGTGCGCAGCTCCAGCGCTCCCTGGATGATGTTGAGCTCCTCTTTGACCAGGTCGTGGTAAGGGTCAGTGACGCGCAGCATCTCCAGGAGTTTCTCTCTGGTGTAAAAGTTGGAGATCTCCTGGTTGAGGATGAGGTCCAGCAGTTTGCTGATGGGGTAGGAGATGGGGAAGGAGATCACCATCAGCAGCCGTGTCACCCAGATGGTTTTGGAGGCGATGGCCAGACCGTGCCGCGAGGCCACCGAGTGCGGAAGGATCTCCCCGATGAAGAAGATGCCGAAGGCGCAGATGACCGTGGACAGCCAGGTCATGCCCAGGATCTGACACATCCACACGGCGAGCGAGGCGTTGATGATCGCGTTTCCCAGCAGTAAAGTGCAGAGAACGTAGTTACCGTGCCGACGCACAGACTCGATTTTCCGCGCGTAGTTCTGCTCCTTGTCAGTGCCGCTGTTCTGGAGGACCTGCAGCTCTACCGGGTCCAGCGCCAGCAGACTCAGGTTCAGCCCGCTGAACAGAGCAGACAGCCCGAGTAGCAGGACTGAGACCAGGACCTGCAGCCAGAGCTCTGGGACAGCGGAGCGCTCCACCACAGCCACCCAGAAATCCCGCGTCCGGTAATGTTCCCATTTGGATCCGTCGAAGGCGCACATGGAGTAGTATTTGACCTTCTCCCCTCTCCGCAGGTCCTTGGCCAGCAGCTCCACCAGCACCGAGTTCTGGCTGGAAGCAGACTTGAAGGACCCTAAAATCTCGATGTCGGACGTCCTGGCGTTCTTGTCCATGCACATGTTCCGTTTCGGGTGAACTTGTCCTTCTCGCCCGGGAGTTGGCTCCTCGATGAAGGCGATCCAGGGCGCGGCATTGTTGGCCCGCGTCCCCGTGGTGCGGTTGAGCTTCTGCGGGGCGGTGGAGTAGTAAACCCGCAGCATGAAGCGGGTCCCCTCGGTGGCCTTCAGCACCCCGTCCTCCACGGACAGCTCCGCCCCGGTCTCCTCCGGACGAAAGCCGAGCAAGCTGAGCGCCGGAGCGGGGAGCAGGGAGCAGACGGAGACGGAGAGCAGCAGCAGGCGAGACGGAGAAAGCGAAGCCCCGATTCGGGACCGCGCGGCCGCATCCTCCGCAGCCATGATGCGGTGTGAGATGCTCCGTCAGTCCAGGACTCACGAGTCACGTGGCACTTCGTGGTTCCGGTCCATGTGGGAGGGACCAGCAGTTGTGCTGTAAAGAGAGAGACGCGTCCGTCACTGTACCGTGACGTAACTTTCTAATAATATCTCGAAGCCGAGCGCATGAAAAATGACTGGACTTTACTTAAGTGAAAGTATCAACACGACAGTGCAGAAATAAAACGTCCTGCATTCAAAATGTACTCAAAAGTACAAAAATATTAGCATCAAAATATACTTAAAGCACCTGTGTATTATATTAATTCTAATTACCGATGCGTTATTGTTTACATCACATTAAATGGTAAAGGTGGACCTAGTTTTAACTACATGCTTATAATTTGATGTACTGATGGAAGCTTGAGAATTTCACACCACAGATCAATAAAGTTTTACAATTACACTGTATTTTGTTGTTAATCAGATTCTGAAAGTAACTAGTAACTAAAGTTATCAAATAAGTGTAGTGGAGTAAAAAGTAGAATATTTATAGTGAAGACAAAGTTTGACAGCAGAAAATGAAAATACTCCGAGTACAGATACTTCAAAATTGCACTTCAGTCCTTGAATAAATGTATTTAGTTAATTTCCACCTTTGTTTATTGGTGTCACTTTAAAATGATTCTCATGTTTGTGGCCAAACTTGTGCTTTATTGTTGAAATCTATTGTGTGCAGGTGCTGGGCTGTCAGGTTTTATTAGCTTATTGTTAGTATAAGGGCTGCTTTATGAAAACTAAAGGTTTTATCAATTCTTATAGTGCATTGTCTATTTTAAGGCAGCAGTAAAGCTCGTTTGGGTTGCCAGGTTGTGAAATCCTTCTGGCTGCAGGGTTTTTATCCTGCTCCAGCTTGTCACATGTTTATCTCTGGAGTTAACCCTCTTACCAACCACAGGACCTTTAGAATTTCTACTAAATCAATAGAGTAAACATTATCCAGCTTTTCTCTGTTGGCAACCTAAAAGCAAGGCTGCATTACATCCAACTGCCTCGAAACCCTGAAAGCTCCAACTTTACTGTGTCGGCTTTTTGGTGCTAATTTCAACAGAAACACAATATCAACTGACACATGGGCATTGCTTTATTACCTGTGTCGAAATCAAGTTGCACAACATTTATGCAGCATTTCATTGTGTTGAATCAAATGACACAAAACAAGCCTGAGGTCTGGTAGTTCAGCCTAGGCCTGTGAAGCTGCAGGCCTACACACTGCACAGGCAGGACCAGGACACCCTGCCAGATACATGCCGCAACGAACAATAGCTATTGGTTCAGCCATTCAACCCTTTGTAAATAATGCGTCAGGGCGGCGTGGTTTCCCCCTATCCAGAAGGTTGGTGGTTTGATTCTCGATCTCCCCAGTCCACATGTCGAAGTGTCCCTGGGCAAGACATTGAACCCCAAATTGCTGCTGATGGACAGAGCAGCGTCTTACAGGGACAGGGCTGCCACTGGTGTGTGTGTGTGTGTGTGTGTGTGTATGAGTTGGTGCCTCAGATTGGCTGCTCAGTTCTGTACCGGAGACAAATTCCTTGGCCAATAGAAGTGATTAAATGAATAAAAACTGATATTTATAGCCTGCAGAAACTGAAAGACATATGAACACCTGCTGTGATAACTGTGTGGCTAAACCTTCACACAGCCAGTCCCAGCACAATGTTACCATCTAACCAGAGGAGAACGGTGCCTCCTGAGCCTGGAAGAGCAGAGAGGTGAACAGAACTCTCTTTCACATACTCCTCCTTTACTTTTAACCTGAAACTGAACAGATTGATAAATGAGCTAAAAGAGAAACAAGTTTAACAATTAAAACTAACAATAGTGTTTTGGTACAATCACATTTCCATCATTTAAAGCTATTGTTACAAACTGCAGAAACAAGGGCGCAGGCGATGTAATTAGAGGTTTGTCCACATGGTGGCAGTGGCGTTACAGGCTCTGACATAAACCATGCACACAAGCGCGCACACCATCATCTGCCTCTGCTGTAGAAACGCCATGCAGCAGCGACCCCAGTGTTAGTGGGTGGGTTGGGAGATAGGTTGCACCGTCGGGGCGTTGTATGATTCCTACAGTGCTCAAACACCAGAACTCTCTCTTTTCTAAATCATATGGCGACAGCAGAATGCGGCTGGAGGAGCAACTAGCCACCCCCTGACCACCAGTTTCAGATTGATAAAGGCTTTGTGCTGCAGGGCGGAGCTTTGTTTGCTGACGTCACGCAGACAGCAGCTGTTTGCTAGCTGCCTGATAGTTACTGCAAAGTGTCACTTGAAGTAAAGTTTAGTTTGTTTGTTTTAAAACGATGGTATTTGTGTCAGATTAATAAAATAACGCGTGTTCGATCACGTTATAACTTTTACGCACGGCACAGAACAACAGATTTAAACCTGCCCTGAAAGAAACGAGTTGTTTGGAGTGCAGGGTCTGGACAGTTTCAGGCTGCTCAGAAATCACAATTCTTGTCAGTGTTTACAAAAGCCGGTTAGTGATTAACCGTCCTCGCTTGCAGCTGCTGCACAGAGTCTTGTCACACAGACAGCGAGCAGTCCGGCCACACCGTCACTCCGCAATGCTGTGCGTCCGGCTTTGGAGAGCTCTGACACCCCTGTGCAGAACAGGTCACTGCACGGTATGGACGCGAACCCAGAGCCACAAGGCAGCTGCCAGGCTCGACCTCGCAGGGATTTATCCGCCCATTGCTACTCCGTTCACAGCCAAGGAGGACGTGGACTTTCAGAAGCTGGAGGAGAACCTACAGAAATATGCCAAGATACCATTTAAAGGTCGGGTCTGACACAGAAGGCAAATTAGCGACCCAAACTCGGCTTTTGCGAGGCCAGTGGGTTCTGGAGAAGTTTCCAAAGTAGGGCTTGAGGTTGATTAGGTGCATGTATGCCTCAGGTTGCGTCATTTAGGTTCATACGCAAACAGCGTCTAGTCTCCATGTGTCCGCGGTAAAACCTTATGACACTCCGGACACCAGGCACACCTCAAAACTCCTTTCACCTTATGCATCTGTTGTCAGTACCGAGTGACCGAGAGGACCAAGTTGAGCATGAAAAAAGGCCTGAATGTCGCCCTCTGGTGGTTTAATGTTACTACTACAATGGTCACGTTTACTGCGGATGCTGCTGCTCTGATTGATCCGGATCCTAAAATATTATAAACCGTTACCCACTGACACGCATTATTTGAAACCTCCAGTTTATAATCTCATCAAGGTGGACTGTCCCTGTACATAAAAGGCATTTTATTTTATTTTTCATTACTTATTTGTGCCTGTGTGATTCTGTTTTGGTTGACATGGGAATTTCGCTCAGGAGTCACCAGTGATATTATTTTAAATGCTACTTTTAATGCAGTGGCACATTTTTTACCATTACAGCTGTTTACAGTCCTTCTGGCACTTTCTTTCTAGTATTACAGGTATTACAATACACAATACGGTATTGTGTTACAACATCTGGCACTACTATTATAGTGACAGCATTTTACAAGAATAAACAAAAAACACATCTTTACTGAGGCCTAATCTCCTTAGTCAGGTTTCTCTTTTACAGTAAACCCTAAACAGTAAATTGATTAATTGATTAGGCAGAAAATTCATCTGCAGCCGTTTTGATAACGAATTCATCGACATGATGTGAAACTCTTGGTGGCTTCAGCCGTTGATGCCTTTCGTACAGTAGTAACTGTGTTTGGATTTTTAAGTGTTGCTTTGAAAAAACACTGGAAGATATTTCGATTATAGACTGGTAAAATATAGCAGACACTGTTTTCTGATTTTTTTACTGACTTTGATTAATGGATCAATTCTAAAAATAGCCTGTGGCATAGTGATTGTGATTCAGATTAATCAGTAATGGAAATAACTTGGTACAGGCCTGAAGTCTGCACCGCTCTGTGCAGAGAACAGATTAGTAGGATAAAGGCCCAAAGACAGTTTCTGGTGATCAGTTGTGTTATGAGCAGAAGGAAAGTGTGAAAGATGAGACCAGTGTGTTTTCTGCTGCAGGTCTGGTGGTTCAGGGCTCAAACGGCGAGTATCCGTACCTGACGGAAGAGGAGCAGGTGGAGGTGGTGAGGGCCGTGAGACGGTCACTGCCAGCGGACAAACTGCTGATGGCCGGGTCAGGCTGCGAGTGTAGGTCTCTGTGTGTGTGGTCTCAGTCTATAAACATCTCTAATGTGTAGCTTTGACTACTGTTGCTATGAAAAGTCACTTTCTTATAAGTTCAGGGTTCAGTGATGAAGTTGTAGTTTAAAATAATACATGACAGTTTGATTTGTCAGAAGGCCACTGCGATAAAACTCATGAAGGAAAATCATAAAAACGTGGTTCACTCTCAAACATTTACCCAGGTTGTCATTAAAGATCTTTAAATTAATTAATTTTCATATTGTGTTTTAGAATAAAGGCCATAGAAATAATGTGAAACACTAGTAGAGGTGCAAAAAGATGCAGCGCAGCCTTCAGTTGCTTTAACCACTTTGCTTCAGAGCTGCAGGCGTTCGCAGTGTAAAAGACAAATAACAGGTGGTGTTGATACTGAACCTCAGACTTTGTGTGAGGAGCTCAAACCGACTCCACATATGTCTCTGATACAGATTTTAGCAACTTTGTTCTAAACTCACTGTGAGCCAGGGTGGTGTCATCTATTTTGAGGCCAGGGTTGTATTGACTTCCTAAACTAGGAGAACCTTTAACAAGTGATGGAGTATACACGGACCCTTCTATGTGAGGGAATACATGCAGTGCAGGTTTGTTTAAAAAAACCAAATGTATACCGTAGAAATGCATTGAACTGAGGGGGCAAACAGCCAAACGAGAGCAAGAAGAGAATGTCTGAAACCGCCCACAGCCACGAGCTGCTGCGCTTTTCATCTGCACTCCTTCAACTCTCTGCCTTCATAAACGCTTTTTGACAGATGGGTTGTGCAGCTGAAGTTTCAAATGATGCTTCACAGAGTGTGTGTTGGTAAAGTTCTCCCCCCCCTCCCCCGTGCGCTCAGCCACCAGAGCCACAGTGCGGCTTACGGAGAACCTGGTGGTGACGCCCTGCTTCTACAAGGCCAAGATGGGCAGCTGTGCTCTGATCCAGCACTACACAAAGGTCAGCTCACAGCTCTAACACACAGTCACACACATCGGTACTTAAATGCTTGCAACACAAATGTTAACCTAGATGTGATTCTAAGCCTAAAGCCAAGTCTTAATCCTGAGAACTTTGTGAAGGAGTAGCCAAAATATTGTCACGTTTGTTTAAGACCTCCAGACAAGATGAATACAAATCATAATTTTTATTGGTTATGAATAAGTAAATGTGATGTGATAAATGTTTAGAAAGCGCTGAATTAGAATTCAATATTTCTGTTTCTTGAAGGATTGTAGTAAGAAAATCCTCTGGGTTTGAAAATATCAGTGTAATAAGTAAAATAATATTTAATTGTAAGAATTATACCCTGAAACTGCAGTGAAATATAAAATATACAGTGAAATGTTGTTATATTTACTGTAAATGGGGGATTCAGACATGGCATTGTCCTGAGGGCCCCTCTCCCTGCGTCCCGCTGCAGGTGGCCGACAGCAGCCCAGTGCCGGTGGTGCTGTACAGTGTGCCGGCCAACACGGGGATGGAGGTGCCGACGGACGCTGTGGTGCAGCTGGCTCAGCATCCAAACATCGTGGGCCTAAAAGACAGCGGAGGAGACGTAAGAAACGCTTCAGTGTAATCTAAGAATTGTGAAGAAAGAGGAGCCTGTTCAGCTATAGTCAGTAGTTTATAACCGTGTATGAAAGGGAAACGACGACCTGATCCCAGAAAGCAACGTTAGTAGCAGTACGGTCCGAGTGTTGGTACACTGTAATACTACACAGTCAGTAGAGCCAATGCACGTCTGTGTTATTTGATTTTCAGAAAACTGGCAGCTGTGATGGTTAAAGTGTTTGTATTTTATCCTGCAGGACTACTTGGTGGAGGGATGGATTGGGGGGGGTGAGTTTGCTCTTGTTGAGCTCTTACTCCGTTTTTGTCTGTGTGGGAAGTGTTTGCAAGAAGTTGCAGATGGATTTCTGATTTGGAAAATAAGATGTTTGTCCACTTGTCAGGAGACAGAGGCGTGGGCGTAGCTTGCGGTGGCCCTGCTCAGCTGTAGGCGTGCAGAGGCCAAACACAGAAGACAAGGGGTGAGGGGTCACTTTACAGAGAGATTATTCAGAACATGAGAAGAGGCCAACAGATTTCTCTGCAGCACTCGGCAGCTGCTGTTTGGCAAATGACGGTATCAAACCTGCTTTAGTTTTAGCACCAATAGAGTTGGATGTGCAGACTCTGGCGTGGGCAGGCTCCTAGGTGTATGATCGTCTCAGATTGATCTCAGGTTGCTTCTTTGTTGTTGTTGTTTTCACTGCTGCCATTGCATGTGAAAGGTTTCCATGCATGTGGCTAAATTCAGGAGTTTCAAATGATATCCCTTCATTAAATGCATGTTAGTCCATAATTATGCTTCAGTAGGGACAAACTGCCCGATAGTTGGCCAGAAGGAGCATATTACCTGGCCTGTGTTTCCTGTGGTTTTGCCTGTTAATGCTGAACAACAAGACCATAATGCCACCCTCGCCTTCTCTTCAGAAGGACACCGGCTTCCTTGTGTCAGAGACGTGACGTTTAATGTGATGTATAACCACGCGTGTTAATATACACATCGGAAATATAACGGGTACCTGTAACGTCATTGCTTTCAAATCAACAGCGGTGCATGAGCAGAGCAGGGATGTGCACAGTGTGTAGCATGTTCGTGATTATGGTCATAGATTCTGTTTCAGTGCCAGAATTTAAATCCCCATCTCAGAAATAACACTTCATAAAAACGTCACACACCTCCACAAACAACCCCCCAAACGGCCTCTTTCTGTTTCCACAGTGGCCGAGGCCTTATGGTTGTGCCAGCGTCATTGCCTGTGGCAGTGGAATACAGGAGGACCAGCACTGATCCTTCATAACAGGACAGTGTTCTGACAATTTGTCCTACCTTATCAGAACTTCTTATCATAGTACAGAACGATAACCCTGAGCAGGCAGACATAGTGAGCTTGCATAAGACGGGCTGATAGATAGGGTTGGCTGTGAGACTCCTCTGTTTGAAACCTCCTGGAAAAGTCTGAGTTCAACTCAGGAGATTTTTGGTGTTTTTAAAATACAGATTGAAGGCATGGAAGTAAAATGCCAGGAAAAATAGAAATTCAAATGGGAGGTAACTCTGGGGTACCAAGAGACAAAGTGAAATTGTACAGTTGATTTTAATTAAATTAATTTGGGCTACTTACACTGGAAATGCAGTGTAGAGACTTTCCATCACCAGTCTTCTGCCCTGATTTGTGGCTTTCTGATGTCGAGGTGCGGAAGGGACAACTCCTATACAGTGTAGTAGGAATGCCATCATATAGGCAGTTTATACTTTCACATTTTGATGATATGAAAGGTCAGAGTTGTCCGACTCGTGGCTGCACCTCTTTCTACCTCTGACCGCTGGACGCGGTAAAGTCTTTGTCACTCGATCACACTCAAAGACACCTGCTTTGGTGCCTTTTTACACAGAACATGGTGGGAAATTGGCACAGAGATTGCACCACGAATGGATATAAAAGTATAAAAGGGGCTTAACTGAAAGCTTGCCTCAGTAAGCAAATATTGAACAGCCCAAAGTCTGTTTACGCTTTTCCTATGGTACATTTCTTTCCCTGAAACAGTAAAAAGTAGTAAGAGTAAAGTAGTAGAAACAAACGATATGAAGCCAGAGTGAGTAGGCACTGATATGTCTGTATTTTTAGTTTGGTTGCTGTTTTGTTTTTCCGATCTGTAGCTTAGAACAGGAAGATGCCGTGAAGTTAATGACGGCACTCAGACCCGAAAGATGGGGGACTGGACATTTTTGAGTAGATGAACAAGACTTTGAGGAAAATGAGGTTTGTGAGTCTGCACAGGCAGGTTCAGTCGTATCACGGGTTTAGAATGGACACCATCCACCAGTCCGTCCTAATTATGTCCAACTTTAAGAATCTAGAAAGACAAAAACACAAAGAAAAGCTGTTTCTCCCTCGGCTCATCTGAACTTCTCAGCATGTCCTTAAGATATTTGCTGCTTTCTCCTTGGCAAACTTTCAACCCGTATCACCTTATGCCATCTAATGTTCCTCCACGCTGTGCACACATCAGGTGTTTCCACTTAAAGTCTCACCCCCTCCTGTGTGTGCCAGACATGTGAGAGTGTGTTATGATGAGGCATCATCGCCTGTGCACGCCGACTGAAACCAGCCTGTCTGATCGATGCAAACAATTATCATCTCTAAGTGAAATAATTACACCTACTCTTCATCCCTGCGAGAGCAGAGAGAATTTATGCTTACACCTGAAAGATAGTCACGGATACTCAAATATGATGTGAGAACACAAATACTGGAATTATTCTATTCATTTTTCACAAAGACATCCATCCATACGATATCTATGCCACTTATCCTGCAGAGGGTTGCGGTGGGCTGGAGCCCATCCCAGCTGACGTGTCACAAAAACATTAAGTGTTAATTAAGTTGACGAGTTTAGTGACTTTCCTCCACGTTCTCAGGGCGCTCTGCTGCAGTTCACTCTGAATTCTTAACTTTTACATTAACAACTTTAGGGTTGTTAGTTTAATTTAGGTTTCGACAGACACAGAAGCCCTACACTTCTTTTCTGTCGAACCTCCATCAAAGTGTTGAACATGGTGGACACACCCTGAATAACTAAAGGCTCAGCAAAGTGTGATACTTTGCACTTGTTGTAATACGTGATGGTGTGAACCGAAGTGGGTATAATGTTGCATTTTGGGTGGGAACGCACTTTCAGGAAGCAGAAGTCAGAAGAGGATCAAGATTAGCCACGAAATGTGCATAAAACTCTAAAGAAGCATCAAGGCCTCAATGTATCAGGTGTATGTCTTTTTTTTTTTTGGATTTATGGATGTTAATTTGTTCTGGACATTATAAATAGAGGATATGAAGTTATCATCATCGTCATTGTTTTGAATTTTGGGTAAATGCACCATTTTGGTGTGATCGTGCTCATTGTCCGTCATGGAGATGTACACTACATGCAGTCACGGCCAAAAGTATCGCCATCCCTGAGTTTCTGTCAGATAACACACCTCTGCTCCTCTTTGGTGTTTTCATGTTTATTTCTTTTGTTTTCAGTGGAACAACACAAAAAGGCCAAATCTGATCCATTCCTCACAGAACTCCAAAAACAGACTGAACAGAATTAGTGGCACCTTTTCAAAACCATCAGAAATCATTGTATTTCCAGCAGGTGATGCTCCTTTAATTGGTAATGAGACTCACCTGCAGCAACCAACTGGTGCTGGTGATGTAGAAATCACACTTGCAACCAGTTAAAATGGAGAAAAGTCGACTCAACCTTTGTGTCGGCTGAGACGGAGACAAGAAAGCAAAGAATTGTCTGAGGATTTGACAACCACAATAGTGGAAAAGACTGGAAGGTCTCAAGGCTCCAGGTCCGTCTCCAGAGATCTGGCTGTTCCTGTGACCACTGTGCACAATGCTGTCAAGATGTTTAGCTTTAATTTGTGATTGCAATGAGTTTCTGAGAGAAATGAATGAACCTGCCTGAGACTTTAAAAGTAAAAGCTAATGAATGTTTTTCTGTCACCTGAGCAGACAAGGTTATTTTTCCCACTGGGGAGCAGTTTCTAAATAGCCAGAGTGCTCAAACTTTCCAGAGACCAGCGGGAGCTCCTGTAGTCTGATTGATTGATCAATTACAGTCCTGCATGTTTGAAATGACTGATGTGGGGGAACTGATTGACACCCGATAAGTAAAAATAGACCCTTCCCAGTAACACAAGGGGGGCTGAAACTGGAGGCTGCAGGCTTTTCCTTGTGGAGTTTTCAGGCTCGCGTGCAGGGCAGTCGTCTTAAGCTCCTTTTGAACGTGCCAGGTTTCTGTGCTTCATATTTGGATTGACAAGAGAATGAGAGGAGGCGTGACAAAATGGGGAGCTTAGTTTACCCAGTGAGATGTTTGGTTTGTCATCATCTCCTGCGTTCGCCTCCCCTGGGATAAAAAATATTTGCTCTGACAGCAGGGAGGAGTAACAACAGTAGAAGAATGCTGGTTTTCACTTGCTTCTCTGTTTCTTATTTCCCCGTTCTTCAGATCACACGGATCGGCCTGATTGTTCACAAAACCAAAATGCAGGATTTCCAGGTGCTGGCGGGCTCAGCTGGGTTTCTCATGGCTGCCTATTGTGTTGGTAAGAAGCCTAAAATAGGATAAACAGTGTGGTTGTTCCTCTCAGGGAGTGGCTGGTTGCCTTCACACCCCCAGGCTATGACCTCCCCCGCTGCTTGTTTTCTTTTCATCCGCAACCAAAGTGAAGAAACTGTCTTCTTGTACATCTTTCATTTTGGGTCCCCACTGCACAATCACAAGGGTAAACAACACCAACACAGTGCACAAATCTAGTCTAGTTTCTTCACAAGCAACCTCTGGCTATCAGATGTCAACATCCCCTTCTTCCTACCCATAAGCCCTTGCAATCTGGGGTCACTTCCTGCCCTTGTTTCAGATTTCACTCACACTGCGGATGGACAGAGCAGCTCCTTGAAGGGAAAAGTGTCACTTTACACCGAGTGTGCAGATTTTAGGGACATTCTGAAACCGACTCACACAGACCACATGTCCTAAACATGTCCTCAGACAGGTCACACGTACTGTAGTGCACGTTTTAGCAAGGTGGCTGTGCAGTCTGATTTCACAGCAAAAATGAAAGGACAAAAGCATGGCAATAAGAACAGAACAGAATAGAATGTTTCAAGTTGGTCTTAACATGCTGTTGATGTGCCCATACGTATGTGAGGAGAGGTCTTAGTCACTGTAACGTCTCCTGCGCTCCACCCTGACCCTGAATGTTCCCACCCAGAGCGCGACTACGCTGTAAGAAATTACACAGCTCTCGTTCTGTGCAGAAATGCACTCCAAAGTTTGTCTGAGTCTCAAAAGGAGTTTTAGTTGAAAGTTCATAACACATAGCTAAGTTTTTAAAAAATACCCATGTGCGTGTGGACAGGACCTAAGACCAACCCGAAAAATCCCACGCCTCTCCTCTAAGGGCTCCAAGTTATTTGATGAAAGTGTTTCTCTTCACCTGCTGATGGACGTTGGGTCCATTTCAGTTGGTTCTGGTTCTGCTACTTTCCAGGACGCTTCCAGTTTGATGGGGCCTCTCACCTGTCAGTCAGCAGTGTTAGGTAAGCTGCTGTGAGCAGTGTGATCTGAGAGTCAGCAGGACACACAAACATAAGTAAGACAGAAAATCAGCAGCCGCCGGCTCTTCTATCCACAACAACAACTCCAAGGCCACGGACAGAGGCCGACTCTTGGCTTCTCTCCTCCAGCAGACACAGACAATGAGATGTCACACTGAAAGGCCATCATATCTTGTTGCCTGGGAAAATGTATCTGTGCCTCGCTCTGTAAATAACTAAAAAGCAGACGGTATATGAAGCGCTGCTGCCTGCAGCTCTGTCAGGAAGGAAACAGAACCCAGTGGATTTCTATCTCACATACACTTTGTGTTCACATTTACATCTTTGCTGACAGTTGTAAAACCAGGGAAATGATGGATGGCTTTATTTAAGAGGAATATATGTTTTGATTAAAAACATGGCAGTCTTTCCTACTAGGTTTTATCTTTGGTTGTTTGAACGCTGGATTCTGTCAAATGCCGTGGTGTGAAAACCTCAGCTGAAGGATGAGGTGCAGGTTGAGACTGTTCTCCAACCTCTACAGTGTGGATGGTGGAACATTTTATGTTCAAACATAACACACAGTATACTGAGTTGATGCCTTAGGCTTTTAAAAGTTTCCTCCTATTTATTTTTAACCTTTTTGTTGAGACAGTTTTAAGGAACATTGTATCTAATTAGAAAATACACAGATGTGAAGACATTGCCCATTGATTCCTCAGCTTTTGCTGGTCTATGGTGCGTGTGTCTAGGTGCAGTTGGCGGAGTGTGTGCGCTGGCTAATGTGCTCGGTGGGGAGCTGTGTGAGTTGGAGCGTCTGTGTGTGTCCGGTCGCTGGGAAGAGGCCCGAGTCCTGCAGCAGCGGCTGATCGAGCCCAACACCACCGTGAGTACCACCTGCTACACGGAAGGCATGTTCGTCCACCGTGGCGCCATCACTAAGTTAAGGTTTGGTCATGTCTCTGAGGCAGAACTGATCAGGAGTCAGCATCATCAGGACTCGGCATTTTTACAGAGCCTTTGGTTTTGGTTCATTGGCTGGTTGATGTTTAACTCAGTCGATGTGCCATTTTTCATCAGGCAGTGATCTGTAAAGAGTATCGTAGTGAAAGTCCACGTTAAACCATTCCTATTAATGTCAGTATGCTGTACAGTCACTAATTTAACTTAGTTCAAGTTGATTTACAGGCTTATTTTTATTCAAGCAGAGGTGGAAAGTAGCTAAGCACATTTACTCAAATACTGAACTTAAATACAATTTTGAGATATCTGTACTTGAGTATTTTCTTTTACTGTTAATACTTTGACTACACTACACTGTACTTTGCACTCACTACATTTTAAGTTACAAGTTAAAGAAAATACAGTATAATCAGAACATTTATTGATTTTTAGTGTAAAATTCCCAACAGTAATTCACATTATAAGATTGAAATAAGCTTATAAGGTAGTTAAAATTAGCTCCACCTTTACCAGTTTTAACATTAAATGTGATTTATGTGACACAATAACACATATAATATTAATTGTACACATTCATCCATCCATTATCTGTAACACTTATTCCTGAATAGGGTCATGGGGGGGCTGGAGCCAATCCCAGCTGACACTGTGAGAGGTGGGGTCTACCCTGGACATGTCACCAGTCTGTCACATGACATGTAGACAAACAACCACACACACTCACATTCACTCCTACAGGCAATTTAGAGTCACCAGTCACCCTAAGCTGCATGTCTTTGGACTGTGGGAGGAAGCCAGAGTACCTGGAGAGAACCCACACAGGGAGAACATGCAAAAACCTCGTAGAAAGACCCCGGGTTGTCCAGGGCTCGGACCCGGAAACCTTTTGCTGTGAGGCGCGCTGGAGCTGCTCCCACACAATATTACAATAAGTATAATTGAATAATATGATGTACATCAACATAAACTGTATTATTTATAATGGGCACTTTTGGTATTTGAAGTATATTTTCAGCTAATACTTTTCTACTTTTACTTAAGTAACATTTTGAATGCAGGACTTTTACTTGCAACAGAGTATTTTTACATGGTGGTACTGCTATTTCTACTTGCAGTAAGTAAACAAACTGAGTACGACTTCCACTGCATTGAAGTACAATACTGCTGGAAAGTTAAGAGCCGAAAACCAAATGACTTAGTTAAAGTGAGATTTGAAAAATGTGTATCTGCTAGGAAGAATTAAAGCACGGTCATTTAAAACAGACCAGGTTCTGTACATTTTGCAGAACAACATGCTTTGGTATTGAGCCCTTCTTCACTATATGGATATATCTGTTCCTCTGAGCTGCTCTGAGCCTAAGACATATGAGGAAACAGCACTGAATAATTTGCTTCAGGCTACAAATGTGTCTGTTATATTGTGTTAAATGTCACTGTCTTACCACACAACCGCCTCCACATGCTGCACCACGCGGTGCCACAGTCCGGATGCAGCTCAGCAGCCAGATATCGATCACAAACACTAAACGGCGTCTGATTTGAAGTGTGTTATAGGTAAAGCTTTGAAACCACACTGCGCTTTCTCTTGGGGGTGTGTGGAGTCTGACTGGAGCTCTGTGTTGCTAGGTAACCCGGAAGTTGGGAGTTCCCGCCCTCAAGCAGGCGATGGAGTGGTTCGGTTTTCACGGCGGTGCCTGTCGATCGCCCATGCAGCCGCTCACAGAGGCCGAGACCCAGCAGCTGAGGCAGGACTTTTCATCCAACGGCTGGCTGTGAGGTGTCTTCACTGTAAACCTGGAGACATTTTAGCTGGTCAGTCCTCAGATCAGTGTGAGTGCCTCACAAAAATACACCAGTTCTACTCATTCAGTTTAATATAGATGAAATTCAAAACAGTGTTGCTAACACTTTGACTAAATGCAGAGAAATATGTTGTAGTTTATAAATTACGTTATTTACATTTACAGCTTTTAAATGTGTCACAAAAAGCATCAATGAAAGTTTTATGCTTCTATTTAAATAAAATAAATCAGCACCATGAAGTTGCTCGTATGCTGCACCTCAGTATCCCACCGGAAACATTCAGTAAAACTGTCAGGACTTAAAATCCATATGCACTTGTTTTGACAATAAAATTACATGTTGCTAAAATAAAATGTTTCCCTTTGTTTTAAATGTGAAGAAAAAATAAATGCTTTGCTTAGAAGTCATTGCTCCTGATGCAGACTGATTACAGTTGTGCCTAGAGGCCAGTGCAGCAGCGAGCAGGTCGACCTCAGCAGCAGTGAGGCGGAAGCAGTAAGAGCCACTTTTTCTGACTGTTCAGCACAAAGAGCCTGAGATCTCAATGTTTTTTTCCTCAACTACAAATTGGGGATCAGGTGGGAATGTGTGACCTCTATGGACAGAGTGCTACAGGGAGAGAGATGAGTGAACAAAGGTGGCAGTCGAGCACCAAGGGATCGGAGGAAGAGCCTCTGATCCAGCTCAGGGTTGGGTGCTACTGTATCTGTCCAGAGGTGAAAGTTCTGCTTCTGAACTTCCTTCTACACATGGCTGGATCAGGAGCCGTGACAGAAAATGTCAAGTACCTCAATGATGACTACACTGTGGTGCTGATCTTACACCATACTGTAATAATACTGTATAGTAATATAGATTGATTAGTGATAAGTGATGCTACCTGTGGTATCGGGGTGTGTTTTGGCATATGCTGGCTGAAACAATAGTGGCCCTCTGCTGTTACTGGGACATTTGGATTTCAGGCAGTTACACATCACTGACCATTGTTTTGTTGTATTGACACTTTAAAGGTGCAGCATTGCACTCGTGGATTTTAGAAACTCCACTGTTGTGCACATAAATCATTCACTAAACCTAGTTTCCTGCTGCTCTAATGTTAAATGTTCCGTGATTTAGGAGAAATCGGTGTTTGTTTTACAGGCTCATTAGACTTTTCTCGCTGTGGACACACAACACACAACAAATCCTCCCAAGTGTACGACCCATATGGTCGTTTGCCCCTCCCTCTCATAGGAGTGGTCCTATGGCGGTGGCCAGAATCACAACAACTGCACCAACATTAAGGACGACATACAGGATTCTGGCATCATCGAAACAAACAAATATAACAGCGAGCTAGCAGTGAGCTACCAGACCTTTGTTGTCAAAGATGCAGTTACAGTTATGAAATCATGTTTTCATTACATTTTAACACACAAACTAGTGGTTTAGATGCAAAACCCACTTGGTTGGGGTTAAAATAATTCCTTATGTCCATCCATCCATTTTCTACCACTTATCCAGGGTCGGGTCGCAGTGCCAGTAGGTTTAGTAAGGTAGCCCAGATGTCCCTCTCCCTGGCAATGTGTTCCAGCTCCTCTGGCGGGATTCTGAGGTATTCCCAGGCCAGATGAGATGTATAATCTCTCTGGCATGTTCTAGGTCTGCCCCGGGGTCTCCTATCCCCAAATGCAGGCACCCTGGAGGCATCCTGATAAGATGCTCAAATCACCTCAACTTTGAGTTGCGCTACCTCATCCAGATTAGGGAAACCGGGGCACCCTGCTGGAGCCAGACCTGGGAGAAGAGGCAGACCTGGGAGGGGAGCTCGCCGGTGAGCATCTGGTGGCCAGGCCTTGACCCATGGGGCCTGGTTGGGCACAGCTTAAAGGAATGACATGGTGCCACCGCCCTGTGGATCCACCACCTGCAGGGAAAGGAATCAGGGTCGGGTGGCAAGCTAGGTCATGTACCTGGGTGTGCTGATCCCTGAACGTGTAGGCTAGCTCTTGGTTATGTATAGGAACAAAATCTCTTGGAAAAAAAATACACACTAACCACACATTGGGAATGAATCCTGATCTGCTGAGTGGTAGTCCTGTGCTTTGTGTACCGAGCCATCTGCCCTAGTCTCCTCCTCATAGGCACTTTGGGGCTTTATGTACTACGCCACATGGATTATTCCTTGTGTCATAATTAATTTGATCACTTGATGTCACCAAACTGTAACACAATAACCTGCTGGCACATTGACTTATGCAGTTGTGCTTGGCAGGTGGACAGTCTCACATTTCTACTTGACAATGTAAATATTAGGTGCATTCAGGACCATAGCTATCACTGAAGGCACTGAAGGCTTGTCCTGTGTTTTGGAAGGTTTTGTAATTTCCATAAATGTTGGAGGATAATGACTTAACGTAATGATATACCTGATGTGACCTGGCTACATCAGCATTATTTAGAAATCAGGCCCCACATTATTGTGGTGTACACAGCCTTATGACCATGCATGTTTTGTGGTATAGATGAAATAAAATAGTGCCAGGTGCTATATTGGTTTGATGAAATTAACGTGCATAAAACACTTATTTTCAGCTTGGTTTTCAGAGGTCTGCCTTTTTTTATTTTTTAAAATGTTGTTCTTGTAGAGATCTGCCTGGAAATCATCAAATGTCATAACTGTTAGCCTACTTGTCATTTTGACATTTTGGTTCCAGAGTCCTGGTACAGTATCGTGCATCCTGGCTCAGCGACATTATGGTTTACTGGGAGAACGGAAATGAAATATCATCATTAAACATGTAATGAAAAGGCAGTTAGTCTATTAAGCTTCTGTAAAGTGAAAGTTGTAGGAGCCACTGTTCTTATAAAACACTGGTAGCAGAACTTCAATGCAGCAAATTCCACCTGCACATTGTGAAGAAAACAGTTTGTTCAAAGTATTTCAAAGGTAAAGACAGTGGCTTTTCTGTTTGAAAGACATTCTCGTCTCAAGTGCATGGACATTTGGAAGCATTACTACACTGCCTTAGAGAAGGCATTTACTTTGTGTGATGAAGAATGTATATAGAAACCTCTTCTTTAAATTAAGGCACTTATTCAAGAATTTTGGAAACTATGAGGTGAATTCTTGTCATTCACTCATCACTAAAGTCTCTCTCGGTGCCAGGCCTTGAGCTTTTTGCCAAAGAACTAAAAATCATCTCCCAAGAGGATTTCTTGAATACCTCAGTTAGTGCTGAATGTCTCTACCATTAGTTTCCCTTCAGAGACAGAGAGGGAGAAGAGGAATAACTTGACATTTTGTGTCAAGGTTGAAGGTTTTTAATTCACACGTTAGTTTTATTTTCACAGCTTGTATTAAATATTGGCTGTTATTTGAACCCTGTGGCACTGAGGCCTCGTGATACAATACAATAACCATAAACCAGCCATCTAAAGGTCCCACTGAGGATCATTGTTTAAAACATTTTGTTGCTTCAGTTCAAAACCTGCAGCAAATTGGCTCTGAGCTCTTTTCTCCATTTTTGACTTGCAGTCTCTTGGAGTGGCCGCATGGAGGCGCTGTGCCCCACCATGCTGCTCCTGCTCTGCCTGCTCTGCCTCAAGGGCGTTGCTTTCATCTCAATTAGCAGAACCCTAGACCTGCGGGGGTGAATGATGCCAGCACTGCCGGTGGGCACACAGAGGGAGGGGGGTCAGCATGTATTTCACTCCTGCTCCGAGGGTGAGCGAGTGGCAAGTCAGCAAAAACCACCCTGCGCAAGGAGGAGAGGGAGGATGACAGAGTCGAACCCCCCACAGTGTTTCCTCTGCATTTCTTCATCTCTCCACACCTGACAGTTTGTCATTCGTCTCCTCGCCTTTACCATCTGTCTTCACTCTGTTTCCTGTCTCTTCCCTCTGCACCCCAGTCCTCCAGGTCATGTGGCGACCTCTCTGTAGGACTGTAAGATGGGACCAGTCCTCTGTCCCCTTTTTTATCTTTCTCCTGTTCTGGCTGACTGAAAACAGTCCCCAGCAAATGCACTATTTACTCCTGTCCATGTAACATTTCCTAAAAGATATGGTGTCCCACTGTGTTATGAAATTACCAGACCTTTCTATGCCTCCATACCGGTAATATCTGTGGCTGGAGGCTTTGTGATTTGGGGATTGTCAGTCTGTTTGGCCCATTCTTGTGAATGCAAAATCACTGAAACACCTTGACGAATTTCTTCAATTTAGGCACGAGCATCCACTTGGATTCAAGGATGAACTGATTAGATTTTGGCAGTCAAAGGTCATGGTGAGCTCACATCTGTCCTATTCCCATGAATTTCCCATTTACCTGAGGAATTACAGTGGGAAACCGTGGATCAAAGCGATAGTTCCACTTTAAAAATGAATCCATTAGCCATGACTCTTCTGTAAAGATGCACACCAATGGGTCTGGGAGTGTGTTGAGGAAGTCGAAATGTAATGAGAGCTGGCCTGAAAATGAAAATGCACCCTTCACCCTTTCTAGATTTGTTGACAATAACAAAAATATAGAATAGTGTCTTAAAACCAGGTAAGACTCTTGCTGTGAGACTAAACTAATGTGAAAACCACCATTAAAACATTTTCAGATTTAGCAGGTAAGGTCTTGCTTTTTTAGCTTCTGTTTTCTTCTGCTACTTCCTGTGGAGTTCACCACTTTGTCACTCCCCATTGTTGAGCCACAGAGGGACAAGTTAGGGAAGTGAGGAAGGAAAGCATGATGGGAGACGACATTCATGTACGAGGTGGACGGAGATCAGAGATAACAGAGAGAGAATAACAGTTTGGAACAAAAGGCAGAGAGTGGACCAGCTTGAGACGTGATGGTGGAGGTGGCAGATACAGGTGACAGGTCTATCAGGAAAAATATAGGTGATGGACTGCATGTACATTTCTGGGCCTATTAATAGGCTCAGAGATTTCAGTGAGATTTCAGTCTCGGTGGAGCCTGGCAGCTGGATGGCAGCCCACTCAGGGAGCGGTGACCGACGAAGGTAGATAACCTGATTAGGAACTAGTTAAACTGGGCGTTGTAGATCTAAAATTAAGCATAATTGAGCAGCTGCGTGACCTATTTCTCGCTTCAGATGAAGAACGTGCTCATCAGAGAAACAAAAAGACAGCACTCATTCAAATAAACGACCTGTTAACTTGACAACAACTGTCCTGGTTAAATAGCTAAAGCTCAAGTTGTGTGGCAATGGTGCAAAGATATTTAGGACATAACTTGTGTAGTATCTAATGCTCAGCAACTACAGACTTGACCTGTGAGGGGTAGTTTTGTTTACAGAAACTACTCATGTTTCACCTGCAGCGTACAGGTAATCA